GAAAATATGGCCTTAGTGATAGAAACAATGCTGGAGATTGTATAATAGAATTTTACAAGACCAATGACTTCTTCATTGTAAATACCTTTTCTCAACAACATAAACGGCGACTATACACGTGGACCTCACTGGATGGAAAACATAGGAATCAAATTGACTACGTCTGTGGAAAGAGACTATGGAAAAGGTCAATATCACCAGTCAGAACAAAGCCAGGGGCTGACGATGGAAATGACCATCAATTATTCATATGCAAGTTTAAGCTGAAGCTGAAGAAAATTAAAACAAGTCCACGAGAACCAAAACACGACCTTGAGTCTATCTCACCTGAATTTAGAGACCATCTCCAGAATAAATTTGACACATTGAACACTAATGACTGAAAATCAGACAAGTTGTGGGATGACATCAAGAACACCATACATGAAGACAGCAAAAGGTCATTAAAAAAACAGGAAAGAAAGAAAAGACCAAAATGGATGTTAGAAGAGACTCTGAAACTTGCTCTTGAACGTAGAGTAGCTAAAGCAAAAGGAAGACATGATAAAGTAGCAGAGCTGAACAGAAGATTTCAAAAGACAGCTCAAGAAGACAAAGTATTATAATGACATGTGCAAAGTCCTGGAGTTAGAAAACCAAAAGGGAAGAACACGCTCAGCATTTCTCAAGCTGAAAGAACCAAAGAAAAAAGTCAAGCCTCCAGTTGCAATTTTGAAGGATTCTATGGGCAAAATATTGAACGACCCAGGAAGCATCAAAAGAAAATAGAAGGAATACACAGAGTCACTGTACCAAAAAGAATTGGTCGACGTTCAACCATTTCAGGAGGTAGCATATTATCAAGAACCAACAGTATTGAAGGAAGAGGTCCAAGCTACACTGAAGGCACTGGTGAAAAACAAAGGCTCCAGGTATTGATGGAATACCAATTGAGATGTTTTAACAAACGGATGCAGTGCTGGAGGTGTTCAATCATCTATGCTAAGAAATCTGGAAGACACCTATCTGGCCAACCAACTGGAAGGGATCTGTATTTGTGCCCATTCCAAAGAAAGGTGATCCAACAGAATGCAGAAATTATTGAACAATATCATTAACATCTCACGCAAGTAAAACTTTGCTGAAGATAATTCAAAAACAGTTGCAGCAATGTATTGACAGGGAACTGCCAGAAATTCAAGTTGGATTCAGAAAAGGACGTGGAACGAGAGGTATCATTGCTGATGTTAGATGGATCTTAGCCAAAAGCAGAGAATACCAGAAAGATGTTTACCTGTGTTTTACTGACTATGCAAAGGCATTCGACTGTGTGGAACATAACAAACACTGGTTAACATTGCAAAGAATGGGAATTTCAGAATACTTAATCGTGCTCATGCGGAACCTGTACTTAGACAAACAGGCAGTCGTTCGAACAGAACAAGGGGATACTGCGTGGTTTACAGTCAGAAGAGGTGTGCATCAGGGTAGTATCCTTTTAACACCCTTACTCAATCTGAAAGCTGAGCAGATAATCTGAGCTGGAATGTATAAGAAGAACGCGGCATCAGGAGTGGAGGAAGACTCATTAACTACCTGTGATACGCAGATGATACAAGCTTGCTTGCTGACACGGAAGAGGACTTGAAGCACTTACTGATGAAGATCAAAGACTACAGTCTTGAGTATGGATTACACCTCAACATAAAGAAAACAAAAATCCTCACAATTGGACCAATAGGCAACACCTTGATAAACGGAGAAAATACTGAAGTTGTCAAGGACTTCATTTTATTTGCAGCCCTGGTGGCACAGTGTTTAAAACAATCAACTAACTGAAAGGGAGGCAATTCAAAACCACCAGCAGCTCTGCGGGAGAAGGATGTGGCAGCCTGCTTCTGCACAAATTTACAGCCTTGGAAACCCTATGGGGTCGCTATGTGTCAGAAGTGGGTTAGAAAAGAAAATAAAAAAGGAGGCCCATTAACACCAAATATAAAACATTTGGGAACTGCCTTCAAGAGCAAAGCCTGTCACCTGTATGAGGAAAATGGCGTACCCCTTTCTGAAAAGAAGAAAGGGTCTTAATAAAGCAAGCACCTTACCCTTGGAAAGACTACATATTTTTTTAAATTACTATTCCCAAATTATTTCATAGGTTAAATGACATTGTGGTTACAATCCCAAAAAGATTTTTTTAGAAGTGAAATAATTCAAATGCTCATCTAGAATAAACGGATTAGAATATCAGAGAAAGGTCCAAAAAAGAGGAGTGTGAAGGCCTCATTCCAGAAACTCAAGCACATTAGAGAATTCAGTGAGTAAAACAACGCGGTAACGGTGAGTTACCGCAGCAATGGAGAAAGGAAGGTGGTCCCTGCAGTGCTGGGGTGGCTCATCCACAGCGACACCCCCCATAACACACCTGGCGTGGATTCAGGCAGGGGTCACCGAAGGGGCCGGTACAATCCAAATCCAGTTCATGCAAATCGAGAGCCCACATCGACACCCTCCACACTAAGTCAGTGGTCAGCACTTTAAAACCAGAAGACTTCACATAAAAGCCAGACTTCTGATTTCTCTTGAAAAATCTGAGGGCACGCCATGGGGGGCCCACCTCTTCATGGCAGCCACTAGCTCTAGCTGACCAGAGACTGGCACCTCCAGCTCACCCAGCCCAGACACCCAAAATGCCACTCGTAGATTACAGGGTTTGCTCTACGATGGACTCCCTGGGAGCACACTTCTACAAGAGCATAGATGTGCTATGCCTATCCATTAAAGCCTACATCATCACAACAAAGAAGAGATTTCATGATAAAAGTCTTCTGAATATCAGAAAAGACCCCAATTAAAATCAAAGCCAAAGAGCCAGGTAGGAGTGTCTACAGCAGGTGGCGATGGCCTTCAGAGGCTGCTGGTAAGGGAGACATGAACCAGGCAGGGGGCTGCTCTTGCACAGTCTCTGACCCAGCAATCCCACTGCAGGGAAATACTCCCAGGGAGCAAAAAGGCACGTGCACACCTGCTCACTTCAGCACTTTACAAAAGCCATGAAAGCGGCAACAGTGCTCATGAAGTATTTGCCTTTAACATGCAGTGCAGTGATTTACTTCACACAGCCCTTCTAGCCATGGTCTCTGTGACTCCCGCAAAAGGGAGGGATTATACAAATAAGGTGTTTGTGGCCCACCAGGGGGATTGGACAGCCTTCTAATAATACAAATAAGGTGCATGGAACCCTGCAGGGGTGGGACCATGCAAATAAAGTGTATGGAACCCTAATGAGGGAATTGGTGAGTTTTGCCATCCCACTAGGCATAAAAGAAGTCAATCTCAGAAGCAGAGAGAGGACCTCACTACCACCAAGAAGAGCCAGGAGCGAAGCGTGTCCTTTGGACCCAGGGTCCCTGCACTGAGAACCTCCTAGACCCAGGCGACAGAGAGAGAGCTCTAATACCAGAGATGGTGAGAGATGACAAGTGGCAGAGAAAAGGTGGCAGCAGAGGCAGCAGAACCAGGAGAGCAGCAGGAGACAGTGCAGTGGGTTTTCTGGCCCACAGAATAAGGTGGCTACATTAGGCATGCCAACCCATGGAGCAAGAGAGCTGAGCGCCTTTGGGCAGGAGACTTGCTGATGGAATGGGGTGCCTCTAGGCACTTGTTGGCAAAGCTAAAGAGCTTTGTAACACTTGCCCAGGCAGGGCAGAGGCCAGGCCGACAGCACAAGGCCCGGGGGCAGAAGCCAAGAAGAAGCTGTCCTCATCAAAGAACTGTATCCTGAGCTGTTCCTGTTACTTCCAAGCTGACCCTAATCTTGAAATGTAACCTATTACTTCTCTATTAGAAGGGACCAGTCCCTGGAGAAGGACATCATGCTTGGTAAAGTGGAGGGTCAGAGAAACAGAGAAACACCCTCAACAAGATGGACTGACACAGTGGTTGCAACAATGGGCTCAAGCATAGCAACGATTGTGAGGATGGCGCAAGACCGGGCAGTGTTTTGTTCTGTAGTACGTAGGGTCGCTATGAGTCAGAACTGATTGGACAGCACCTAACAACACCACCACTTCCCTAATAAGCCCCATAACTGTGAATATGGTCTGTGAATTCCATGTGGCCACTGCAATGAATTATCGAACCCAGCAAAGAAGTAGAGAGTGCCATAGGAAGGATAGCTGGTGTCAGAATTGGTAAAAATGTTGGAGAGAGGTGGTACGTCTGACTGCTGATATTGATCTTGATTCTCTCTCCCCCCTTGTGAAGTTAGACAAGGTGTGACACTGTCGCACCATTTTTGCAAAGTACAACCAAGTTTTTACTTTGGGGAACTAAATCTGCCCCAGGAAGCACTCTCCAGAAAGTTTCATAGCCAAATTGAGACAGTAAATCAACAGTTTTAAATGAATAAGACCCTGCAATTCCCCTGCGTCTCTCTCACGTAGGACACTTGGGGAGGCTCAGAGGGGAGAGGAGACGAGCTCCGTTTTAGGTGTTCTGAACTTGAGATGTGCTACGAGAGTGTCCGGGGGAGGTGGACACAGACCTGGTGTCCCAGAGGCAGCAGAACCAGGAGAGCAGCAGGAGACAGTGCAGTGGGTTTTCTGGCCCACAGAATAAGGTGGCTACATTAGGCATGCCAACCCATGGGTGTCAACACACAGGTAAGGAGGAACAACAGCAGACGGGCAGCTTAGGGGAGGAGAAGGGATGCAGGCAGAGGGGACAGCAGGTCCAGTGTGGGAGCAGGAAGCATGGACGACCTTACTCCAAGAGGCCTTCTCGAATGGGCCCCTTAGACTCGCAGCAGCACCATGAGCTCCCCTCACAGCCTTCCTACACTATGCTGTCAGACTTTTATTTTCCAAAGAGTCACCAATGCGTGTGGTTTAGGAAAAAAAAAAAAAGGACAGGAAAGTAGGAAATTGTTCCCCTCAAAATCAAGAGGAACACCTGAACCCCAAGCATTTCCAAGCCCCCATTTTCAAACAGACATGTGAAAAGTGACATTATTTACTTACACACAGCTCATCAGCCCCACGGTGTTGGTACAACTGAGACAAGCACGGTCCCCCAGACTGCCTACGACAAAAACAAAGAAAAGGTAAGTAAATGAATCTCAAACCAGGCCATTTATACTGACAGCATCTTTTACAGTCTAAGAGAGCACCAGTGTCTTTTGTAGAAACCTCTCCATATAAGCTGTCGGAAGCTTGTTCTGAGTGTTAGAAGCCTCCAGAATGTAGCTAAGTGAAGGGTCTGTCCCAACTAGGGAATAAAGAGTCTCAGGGTAGCCCCAGGGAAAAAAGGGGGAGCCTGAAGCAGCCCTTGGTTCTGCACACCCAAGGGGGAAGCCGTGTAGGCCAAGCCCCAAGAAGGAGGCTACACTCGGCAAGCAAGCGGAGAGGCCGGGGGCTCTCACGGGGTGGGACCACTCTCCCAGGGAGTGCTGCAGGCTGGCTCTGGTGGACAGAGGCCAGGGATGCCACGGGACCTCCAACACCATCAGTCCTGCAGAGCAAGCAAGGGTCCCATGAAGAACGACCACAGGGGCCTCCCTGAGTGCACGAGGGACAGGGGCTGTGAGAGTGAGCACATAAAGAAGATGCCATCTCTCGGATAAACAAGTCAGCTGTGATGTTTCCGGGTTTTAACATATTTCTGATGCTTCCCCTAACTCACTCTAGACTCAGGACCCTGTCAGCACAAAGTCAGAGTTCACTCACACAGCCAACATTCAAGGCCTGCCTGTGCTGGGGATTCAAGACAGATGCCCCAGACAGAAAAGGCAGGCAGGGCCGGAACGGCCACCCGAGGAGGCACCAGACCTGTGCAGGATCAGGCAGCTCCACAGAAGGAGGTGAGCCTGGAAAGGCAGGTGGCGTCTGTGAAAGGCTCATCTGTCCACGAGACCAATGGCCTCGATCCTTCAGGGAGTGGGGAGAGGCAGGGGCAGGTTTGGATTGTTGAGAGGTGACTGTAGAAGTCAGGAGGGGGGAAGAGAAGCCAGAGAGGGCAGGGGACAGGCGCTGAGCATCACACCTCAGAGCAAGAAGTCAGGCAGGGCGGCACCAAGCTGCTGACGGTGGGTCCTCCGGGGCCGAAAGACGTCCCCTTGCTCCTTCACATCATTCAAGAGAGGTGCAGCCAATCACGTGGTGAGGGATGCTTCCATTAAACATGACATTCAGAAATGCAGACTATTGGTGACAGCCTAGGTTTTAAGTTGGAGCTAGGTTTCCTCATGTTCAGATTACCATCACATGATTTAAAGATGTTAGAGACGTTCTTTTCCGTATCAACTGTTACTTACGTTTTAAGTTAAGATTAAAAAATGTACATTCCGTTATAAATGTCTACACTATAAATTTCACCCTCTGAAAGACGGCTGTGGTACGTGAACACACCATACGTGGCCACACCAAGCCCTTCGCACTGAGGCCCTCCCTTTCCTTCCCCCCAAAACAGAAGCAACGTGAAGGCCACAGCCCACCACCAGAGCACCACCTGTGCCCTCCTTCCGGCCTCTCCTCTCCTGCCCCAGCCTCTCCTCTCCTGCCCCGCTCCTGCCTGGGGCCAGCCCCACCCCACACCTCCCAAAGACTCAGCTGGGAAATGGCTCCACCCACCTGGGGCACGTCCCCACCAGCAGGCGGACTTGCCACCACAGCTCCCATCCTGCAAATGTAAAAAGCGAAAAACAACCCCCTCAGACTCCCCTGCAGTGACACCCCCTCCTCTCTGAGGACAGACCCCTGACTCGGGTCCCCCTGTAGTGACACCCCCTCCTCTCTGAGGACAGTCCCCTGACTCAGGTCCCCCTGCAGTGACATCCCCTCCTCTCTGAGGACAGATTCCTGACTCGGAGCTCCCTGCAGAGACACCCCCTCGTCTCTAAGGACAGACCCCTGACTTGGGTCCCCCTGCAGTGACACCCACACCTGAGGACAGTCCCCTCACTCAGGTCCCTCTGTAGTGAGTGCCCCCTGCCCTCTGAGAATGAATCCCCTACTCCGAACCCCCTGTAGTGAGCGCCCGCTCCTCTGAGCTGCATCTACTAAGCCCCCATCCACTCGCTGTTGCCATGCTCTCCCCAAAACCACTCCAGAGGCTTCTGTCCTCAGTGCTCCCAGGAATCCACTGGCCAAGGCCATAGAGGATGCCACTGCTTCCTGCTGGCCCTCCTCTCCCCTCCCCCTCTGCAGCAGTGACCCACCCCCTCTGCAGCAGTGACACTGTCCACGGGCCACTCCCTGTCACGTGAACCACTCCCTCCTTCTGGAATCCCTTTCTTTATGGGGCTTCCAGGAGGTCACACTCTCCTAGGTTTCCTCCTCAGGCTGCTCCTTGCCTGGATGATCACCTTCCTGAGCCTTGGACACTGCGGGTAACACCTCCCCCTGGAGGTCTCACAGGCAGCTAAATCCAACAACTCAGGAACTCTCACCATGCCCTAACCTGCTCCCTCCCAAGTCTTCCCCTGGTGACAGATGGCACTGTCATTCCAGATGGCTCAGGCCAGATGACCACGAGTCACCCCTGACCCTCCCTTCCCTTCTCTCCCACCCCGCCCTTTAGCAAGTCCAGTCAACCCTACTTCTAAACACCCTCGGCCAACTCCTGCAGTGTGGGCCACACATGGTGACGCCCTTCCAAAGGTACAGGACAGGCCTGACAACACTTCCTCAGTCAGGTGATCAAGGTTCACATCCACAGTGCTAAGTCGTGGTGATGGCATGGGCCCTTGATGTGATGAGAAAGGCACTTCCCCTCTGTGGTCTCTTCCTTCCAAAAACCTACCACCCCAGTCTAATGAGACAGACATCAGACAAACCCCAAGTGAGTCCATCCTACAAAGTACCTGACCAGCACTCCTCCAAACTGTCAAGGTCATCAAAAACAAGGGAAGTCTGAAAAACCGTCACAGCCCAGAGAAGCCTAAGGAGACATGACGACTAAATGCCACATGGTGTCCTGGATGGGATCCTGGGACAGAAAAAGGACACTAGGGGAAAACTAAGCAAACCCAAACACAGTGTGGGCTCTAGTCAATATAATGTGTCAATGTGGCTCCTTAGTTGTGACAAATGAACCATATTAACGTAAGACGTTAACAAGTAGGTGTGGGGCACACGGGAACTCTCTCGCTGTTAACTCAGTTTTTTCTGTAAATCTAAAACTGCTCTAAAACAAAGTTTCTTTTAAGAAAGCAGAAGGTGAGACAGGCACTGTCCTAAGCACTTCACATGAGCGAATTCATCGCCCCTCCACCCAACAGCTCTCAGGCAGTGACTCTGTTCCCGCTTTCCGATGAGGGAACGAGACAGCAAGGGCAGCTTCTTGCCCACATCATGTAGCTGGGAGGTGGGCAGCCAGGAAAGGAGCCAGGGCTGGCGCTCGGGGACACCTTGCCATACCACCTGCCTGTGCACCTCACAGGGTCCTACTCACCACGAGGGAAGGGGCTCAGAATCAATTTCCAGTGCCTCAGGCTTGCGTGCTGCTATGATCCTGAACAGGTTTCAGCAGAGCTTCCAGACTGAGAAGGAGTAGGAAGAAAGGCCTGGGGACCTACTTCCAAAAATCAGCCAGTGAAAACCCTGTGGATCACAACAGTCACCAGGAGTCTGGCTGGCATCTCACAACTTGGGAGGGAGGGCATTGGCTCAGTAAATGTTTGATGACCGAATTAATGAACAAGCCATGGCCAAGGGTGTCTTTGACCCCTTAGAGAATCTGATGACCACCAGGGCCCCTTGCTCCAAAAAAAGACCTGTAAGCACTCAACTAGGGTGTGGGTGTTCACTGCTAAGGCCTCAGGGATCTCCCCGAAGTCCATCCCCAGGTCCCCCGTGAAGAACCTGGTCAAAGGCTCTAAATTCCCTTTAGGTCCTATAGCAAACTGGCTGTATAACCCACCATCACTTAACGCCTCCATAAGAACGAACAGTGGTAACTATAGAAAACATTCGTGTCCTTAGGATGATAAATAAAACCATTCACACAGGAAAAAAATCAGATAAATCTTAAATTATAGCACAGTGTCGAAATGTGACGGGGCAAAGGCATTTATATCACCATCCTTAACATTTCAAGATGTAGAGTGTGCGTGCTCTAACTGCAGGCGAAAAGGCTAAAAACAGAAGTAGATACAGACCCCGACTGTCCAGACTATCCCTGCCCATGGCTCCAAAGGTCTCAACTGCCAAACTGCCATTGTTAAAAATTACAAGAATCGAGTTTCTTGTGGTAGTCTCACAAACCGTAAAACACGTTTTTTATATTCTCTTACTTGAGTCTCTCAATTTTATAGGACAAATATTAGCCTTACCTTAATTGTACAAATATACAAATAAGGAAACAAATCCACAAAGGTTAAAGAGAGAGAGGGCATTTGCTAGGAGCCAAGTGCAGGCCCCCTTGGTGTTAACCTCTAAGAGCCTGTGAGTTAGGTGTGATCCAGGTGTTAAGGGATCCATTGGTGGTCAGGTCACACACAGCAACGCCTGGAGCCCCTCTGCTGGAGTACTCTCCTGGATGCCAGGCAGCCGCCCACACCAGTGCCCTATGTCCATCAATCCAGCTCATATTCTACTACCTCTGCTCCATCATCACTTTTGATACTTCTGATATTCCTTGCTCCCTCTAAGTGGTCTCCCTCGGCACTGTCTTTGTGGCAGTCAGCATTCCGGAAGCTTCCAGTTAGCCAGTTAGTGACATACACACATATGCACATGTTCACACACACACACACAGGCTAGTTAAACGTGTAGGGTCTGCATCGCGCTCATCTCCCCACAGTATCTGCACCACACAGAGAGGTAGCCAATAACTCCACAATGATATAGGGAGTGTTGCCATCGACCTTATTAGGTCCCCCGCATCTCCTGCAACCTCACAGGTCTGCTGCCATGCCACTGGAACAGTCTCACCTCAGAATTCCAGAACATGGCCAAAGGGCACAACTGTGCTCATGAGTGGCCGCCACGTTCCACAGTGACTTGTCACAGAGAGGGAAGCCAGCGTGCCGGGCCAGGGCTGGTCGTCAGCACGCTCTTTCCAAAACTTTCCGAAGTCGTCCTACAGATACGGTAACCAGCGGCGACCCGTGTGATTAAGGTCACAGCCTGAATGGAGAGAGTGACGGCAACGCCACCCCGCGCCAAGTGGCACCGCTCGCACCAGGCCCCACGGGTTGCCGGGCGGGGCAAAGACTCCGGCTGCAGCCGCGGACTCTGGGGGCCCGGGCCGACCCCGGCCGCTCGGCATCGCCTAGGCAGCCGGCCCGGCTCG